TAATCATCAATGTTCCGAATCGGTCGATCGAATCGTTCACCCGAATCGGTGATCTGGGTTTTTAAAAAAATTATCTCCAGTCTCTTGGCTCTGCGAGTGTGGGTGGTTGGCAGGTGGTCTGGTGTGGTTTGCTTCTTCTTTCCTATCAAACATCTATCGTCCTTATCTCTCCTTGTTCTTTTTTATGTTTGTTACTTTCTTGTAACACCTCTAATCTTCTGGCGCTCATATGACGTTATGTAGTTGCGAGCGTCGTAAAACCTATGCTTTAAAAAAAAAAAAAAGACTATGCGAGTCCCAAGTTGTAAAGATTCTAGTGGCAGTACGAGGTCCCAGTGGACAGGTGGTTGATTGGCTCATCATACAGAGTGTAAAGCGATACATTTAAATTGATATCCCCCCCCCTTCCCGGCGTCGGCATAAATTTAGACGTGTGGTATGGTGGTGAAATCAAGTGCTAGTCAAGATGATGTCATCAGAAAAAAAGAACCAACTAAAAAATAACCCCCCCCCCAAAAAACAAACAAACAAAAAAACAAAAAAACCCACAAAAAACAACCCCCCCCCAACCCCACGAAACATTTTTATGCCCCTTCAGCAATTTTTATCGTTTGATTTATTTGTTTGTTTATATTATTCTGGATCGACGCCTTTTATGTCCATTTATAACACATTTCTTTGTGGAGTTTTACTGAAATAATTTGATGAAGGTCTCTCAGACACACACACACACACACACACACACACACACACACACACACACACACTCAGACACACACACACAAAACAAAACAAAATGTAAATTTGCAGTTTCCGGGGACACTCAAGGTATTGTTACTCTCTTGTAATACCTCTTATCTTCTGACGCTCATATGACCTTATGCAGTTGCGAGCGTCTTAAAACCTCTACTAAAACTAAAAAACAACAAGCTATTGAAGTCACCAAACGTTGGTGGCCATTCTTTCGGTAGTTTTTTACCCTGGCACCAGGAGACTTCAATCTGTGGGTGGTTGGCGGGTGCTCTGGTGTGGTTTGCTTCTTCTTTCCTGTCAAACGTCTACTAAAACCTCTACTAAAACTAAACAAAGACCTCAATCTCTTTAACGCAAAAATCTCGACTTCTACTCATAGTAGATGCGTATTCTATTTCAGAAAAAAAACCCAGCAACCCCCCACCCCCCCAAAAAAACAACAACAACAAAACAAACAAAACTAAAAACCAACAAAAAACGAAAACAAAACAAAAACAAAAGACAAATGAAAAAGCTTTAAGATTATAATAATAACCCCATACGCTCAAAAATGTATTCCACCGTATCGTGGCACAAATCAATGGTTTAGGAGGCTTTGTTTGCCTAGTGGTTAGGCTACCGGACTCGTAATCGTGGAATTGCGGGTTCGGGGGTTCGAGCCTCAGCTCCGCCCGACGCTGTGTCCTTGGGATGGGCACTTTACTTGAATATCCCTCTTGGCTCGGTCCTTTCGGGCGTTTAACTCAAATGTCCCGCCTGTTAAATAACATAACAGTGTTGATAGTGGCATTAAACCTATAAGCTATACCGTTTGACCATTTTTCATCTCACAAAATGTTTAGGAGGTAAGTGGTTGGCGGGTGCTCTAGTGTGGTTTGCTCCTTTTTTC